CTCCTCACCAGCTCTTGCTCCCTCAGCTGGTCCCCAAACCCTCAGCTCCTTCACTCCACACATCCTCTCCTCTCACCTTCTCCTCCCATTTCCCTTCCCTATTTTTCAGCATCTTCAAAGCTTTCTCCACCCTTCCTCCCCACCGTCCACCCCTCTCCCTGCCTCCTCCACCTCCCTTCTCCGTCCTGGTCTCTCCCACACCTCCCTCCTGTGACTAGACAGCCATGCCATACTTCCTCCACTTCAGCTAACTTCCTCTCTTCACAGGAGCCAGTGTTCCATCTCTGCTGCTGAGCCTCCTTTCACGCCTCCTGGCTTTTGCCATCCCACTCCCTTCCTCCCACAGAGACGGCAGTGGGGGGCACGCTGCCACTCGGTAGGCCTGACCCATGGCTCTCATTAACAGAGCCCTTCTCAAAGCAGGCGCAGCATGAAATAAATAAATAAAGCAAATCTCTGTCTCGCTACTGTCTCGGGTTGCTTAAGGAAGCCGGGCTCTGGGGGTGGGATGAAGGATGCTATTTGGGGAAGCTGTCTCCATGGCAATCCCCATTCCCACCACCAAACAGGCACAGGTCACCTGCTTCCATGAAAGTTTCCCCCCTCCTTCCACATCCCTCAGCCTGGGAAGTGCCAGCACAGCCCCAGGGGCACAGGCAGTCCAGCCCACAAGAGAAGCAGCAGGGATGCAAGAAAAGATGCAGGGATGGTGCTGGCACTGCTGCCAAGGGCCTCCGAAGTCCTCCACATCACGTCGGAGGAAGCCAGGGCATCTCGGTGGTGCAGCGTGGAAGAACCAGCAGCACCCACTGCCCTCTGCGCTGTGTGGGCAAGGCAACCCCATCACCTCCCTGCCTGCATCCCCATGGTCAGCCTACGGCAGACACAGAGCCGCTGGCACATGTGCTGTTGGGACTGGGGCAGAGATTAAAATGTGTCCTCTCCCTCTGCACACAGCCCTGGGTGCTGCAATTCCATATGGTTCCACTTATTTATTCTAATTCAAAATGGGCCACTCCCATTAAACGCTGCCAGGTGCTCCCAGAACAACCCGTGGTTCCCTTTTTAGCTCTAACAACTCCATCTCTCATGCGACAGATGTGCTCGCCGGGACCTTTCCCCAAGTAAAGCAGCGTCAGCCCCGCGTCGCCGAGCGCTCCCGCAGCCAACCTGGTGCTCCCACCCGCGCCAGCCCCCTCCCTGCACACCCACACGTCCGTCGCAGGGCTGGCAGCCCTGCCCGATACCCCCCACTGCAAAAAAGCCGGCAGCGCTCCAGGAATCGACACGGAGAGGATGAAGAGAAAAGAGGAGAACAGGGAACTGGCTCTGCTCTCCACCAGCTATCTGGTATGGGAGGGCACAAACAGCAGCAGGCAGCTCCCAATGGCCAGGACGGACAAGAGGGTCGGCAAAGAGCCCACGGATGAAGCGCTGGGGTTGGCACCCGGGCAGCTCTCCTGAGGCACGGCGCAGGCTGGAGGGATTCACACGGTTCCCCCACACGGCTGGGAGTTTCGCCAGGAAAAGCAAGTTTATAAATAGTGCATTTCAACAAGAACAAACGAAAGTGGCAGAACTCGACAGTCAGATAAGCCAGGGGCTGAGTGCTGGCCCCTCCCCAGCATCCTCCCCCACTAGGAAGGACGGTCCCTTCCCGCCATCGTCCAGCTGGCCAGGACCATCCTCGCTCTCTGGGAAACCTGGATCTGGAGGTGTCCGTGCCAGATGTGCTGCTTGGGAACACCCTTGTTGCAGCTGGTCTGGCAGCCAGAGCAAGGCAGCGAAGCTCCATGCAGGGGCAAGGGCAAACACAGCCCACAGCCATCAGCTGCCCAGCTAGGGCCAAGGGCCACAATTTTCAACGTACTGCTTGAAACCCAGTCTTCAAAAGCCTATGGGCCAGAAAGTTTCTAACTTCTCCTCCCACCTCTGCAGAAAACAGCTGCCCCACGGGTGAGGCTGGCACTTGAAACAGAAGCTTCACAGCACGATGCGTTACACTGAAGGGGCACATACCTGCCAGATCCTAACAACAAGACGATACTCAACGGGAAAACCAGCTTTTATCTCTACGTTAATGAGAAGAGCAGTAAAGTCGTCAGAGGAGAACTTGCTTCTCGTAAACACAAAACAGCAGAAAAGACATCCCTGCGCCTATGGAGCGAATGGGAGGACATGCCTGCTGGGGACCTGCCTGCCAGATTGCAAAAGGAGGAGCTCTTGATGGTGGTGCCCAAGGGAAGATATCAAGAGATGACATGTCAGAGCAGCCCCATCAGCCGTCAGCAAGAGAAGCTTCTGACAGTCCACCGAACACATGCAACACTCTTCATGCCACACTTGCTTACCTTGATGTAGGTGTCAAGGGCTGGGTGGACACGGTTGACTGCTAGATGGATGGACAGTGGCGTAGTGAACGGGAAGGTTGCCATGACCACATGGCTAGGAGCAGGGAAGGAGAAGATCTTGAAGCCATACTTCTGGAACCGCTTGATCTGCTCTTCTGACGGCTTTGCATCTCCCTCGCTCAGGATTCGCCCTATGGCAAAGCGGCACTTCTCTGGAGAAACCTGATCGAGGGGGACAGACAGACTATGTCAGAAGAAGAGACACTTAAGACCAGCCAAAACCTCACTCTGCTGAGCATGAAGGCAGGAGACCGCCATGAACCAGGGTCAATGCAATGGCCCGGCACAATGAGGCAGGCCAAACCAGGTGCCTGCTCCAACCCAGGCTGATCCAAACTGTCCACGCTCCTCCCAGCCTATGCTCACAGCCCAATGGGGAAGGTACCGCTTCCCTCCTTGGAAAGCAGAGAAGAACTAAACCCCACTGGGCTGCTCACCCAAACCTGCCCCAGATGACAGCCACTGCAGAAAGTACCTCTCCTTATTCTCCCATCAGAGACCTGACTGTTGAGACACGGTCACTGCTATCCCCACCTGCAGACACCCCTGCAGGTAAAAAGAGATGTGACCACAACCTGCCCAGCTTGCCTCCATCCCACTCCCACACAACTGACTGGCACAGGCCACTGGCACCAAGCCAGAGAGAAAAGCAGAAGTGCTTGGTCCCACTTGACCAGGCACACTCAGCCCGGCACAATTTTACAGGTGGGAAAACTGAGGCATGTAAGATTTGCATGCAGTTACCATTTTAGACCCCGACAACACATAAAACACGCTCTCTTTTCAGATTTGGGGATGTCACCCATTAGGACAGGAGGCTGCATGGTCCCCAGCCCACAGGGGGGCTCAAGGCTCTGCTCCTGGCACAGTGACAGCCCACGGGACTCCAGCCATCTCCACGACAAAGCTTACTCAGGCTTACTCCTGGTTTTAAAGAAAATCCCACCACTCGCATTCACATTTACCCGTCAGGGGGCAGGCGAGCCCAGCAGCTCTGGCGGGATGATGGGAAGCAGAAGGAGGGTGTGCCCAAGGCCACCGTGTTACCACCTCCCATCCCCACGTGCCCCCAAGCAGATCTCAGCTCTGTGCTCCCCAGTCTCATCCCTAACATCATCTGTGCTAAAGCTCAGTGATGTCTCCTCCTGCAGCATACACCACCCTACACCTCACTCCTGGCCCTTCTTTTCCCTTGAACACCCTTTAATGTTGCACTGCAGGACCATTCCAGAGAGGAAACAGGAGCAGATGTGTATAGGACGGAAGAAAACACTGCCAGAAGCAGCCATCAAGCAGGGGACTGGCGTGCCTACAGCTCGCTCTTGCCCTCCTGTGCTGCGAGAGGGAGCTGCAGACAGGGCTGTGCCGAGCTCCCCTGCTCGGGGGAAGGAGAAGTAGATCCACCCCAAGAGGCAGCAGTAAAAGGCACCCACGGAGAAAGGCCCAGACGAAGCAAGGAGGTAAGGGAAACCTAGGCACAATTCCTTTAAACAGGCAATCTCCATTAAAGACAGGTGACCCCCAGACCCAGAGCAATCGCTGGAAGGAGGGGAGCTGCTGGAGCAGGCAGCACCACTCAGACCAGGCGCGTTTTGCTTCTGCTCCTTTTAACTTTCTTCTTCATAGTGTGCAGCCCTGCAGGCGTTTTCTGACGGGCAGCAAGGCAGATTTGCCTCCTCTCCCACCTGGCAAAGCCCATCTCAAGGGAGGGAAGGAAATATTCCAGTTAAAAGAAGCCATTCTCTAACAAATCTATCCTGTTGGGGTGGCCAGGTGCTGGTTAAAGCCTCTGCTGCCTCGGGCGTCCCGACAGAGAAGTTTTAGAAATGAGTAGTTACCTATTCATCCACAGCTTTGCCTATAGGAGCAAAGCCCATTCCTGCATTCAGAGAGCATTTTGGCCTCATCCATCCAGCACTTGGGCACAGCCTGGTCGCTGAACACACAAATGCATGAACTGAGGCAAAAGGCCCTAACAAGTGCCTACAGCTAAATGTGAGCAGAAGCACTTGGCTGGAGCAGAGCACAAACCCACCCGCCACAGCCAGTCCTTGCTGAGGAGTTATTTTTATTGCTGCCAGACGTGGAAGAAGGAGGGAGAAGTCCTCTGGGCCGCTAAATATTAAATAAAAAGGCAAAAGGGGAAAAAAAAGTGCAAATTAATATTAATCTTGTCCATTAAAACACATAAAACATTGCTGGCAGGGGTTTGGCAGCACTCAGGGAGCATCCTTGTGCGAACACCGGAGCCAGGAGCCAGCAGAGAGCCCTAGGGACGTCAGTGACGGCAGTCACCCCAAGGCCCAGTGTGACCCTGTGGCAGCCCACATGCTCCAGGCCACGAGGCTCCCCCCAGCCCCATGCCTGGCCGAGAGCCAAAACATGGCTCTCCAGCTCTGGCATCCCCATCCTCTCTCCTCACAAAAGCCTCCTTTCGCCAGGAGTCCATCAGCACAGCAAACGCCACACTGGCACCTGCCGGTCCTCTAGGCTTGGGACCAGGAGGCACGCGC